TGTTTTATTCGTGTTTAAAACCTGCTTTAGTGAGCCATGATTCACATCCCATAATAGCTGTCCTTGTTGAGTGTTTGAGCATGGTTTCCGTGGATTTGCCATGTGTGTGGCCACTGCCATAGGTGGTTAGGGAATAGTCCTTCCCCTCAATAAGAGCCCCAGGTCCTCCTGAAAGCCCTTGTTTAGGTCCTGAGCAATCGCTAATCTCCCTTCTTTCTTAGGTTTTCTTCTTAAATTACAACAATTTATATGTGTGTGTATGTGTGTATATGCCACATGTGTGAGGCTCCCACAGAGGCCACAGGAGGGCATCAGACCTCTGGAGCCGGGGTTACAGGTGCTTGTGAGTTACCTGATGTGGGTGCTGGAACCGAACCTGGGTCCTCTGCAAGAGCACTATGTGATCTTAATTGCTGAGCCTTCTCTCCAGCTCTTAGGTTTTCTAAAGTCTAGGCATTTCATATGATTGGGGTTGTGCAATCTGCAGGCCGCCGTGGCTTTGTTTCTCCTGCATCACTCCTCCGAGGGTCGTTCACGTAGCGGCATCTGTCAGAGCTTCATCCTTTTGGTGGCTGAGTGACAGTTCATTACCTCATTTGGCTCTATCTCTAGGAGCCTTCTCTCCAGCTCTTAGGTTTTCTAAAGTCTAGGCATTTCATATGATTGGGGTTGTGCAATCTGCAGGCCGCCGTGGCTTTGTTTCTCCTGCATCACTCCTTCGAGGGTCGTTCACGTAGTGGCATCTGTCAGAGCTTCATCCTTTGGTGGCTGAGTGACAGTTCATTACCTCATTTGGCTCTATCTCTATCCATGGTAGGCGCTGAGGGCCTGTGGGCCATTGTGAGGAGTGTCAGCAGTAAGCATTGGTTTATGTCTGAATATCCACTTGGAATTCTTTTACATAAAAACACTTTTGGGGAGCTGGAGAGATGACTCAGCGGTTAAGAGCACTGACTGTTTAGCACCCTCATGGCCATAAAAATAAATAAATAAATAAATAAATAAATAAATAAATAAATAATAAACACTTTTGGGCATGGAGACAACAGATTGGTGACCCTCTTTGTGTGTGGTCAGGGTGGTGTCCATGGGCAGTGTGGGGCTCAGGTAGCATCTGGAAGCCGTGAGTTGAGGGTTGTACATGCTCACCCAGCATCTCTCTCCTTGTGCAGTTCGCCTCTACGGACCCAGCTTCATCCTCCAGGTTTTCTCATCACAGAGGAAGTCCTGGCACCCTGTGTGCCAGGATGACTGGAATGAGAACTACGGGAGGGCGGCGTGCAAGGACATGGGCTACAAGTGAGTATGGCGCCCTCAGGAGGGGGACAGCGCGGTCATGATGACACAGGACAGAAGTTGAAGGACATCTCTCTGCTTCCTATGAGTGTCAGCACTGGATGCTGAGGGCACGTGTTCTTTCCCCAGTGCTGATCCATGCACCCAGAGGGTCACTTACCACCCTGGGCTTTGCCTGGTGCTATTGACCTTGCTCTCTCTGATGGCCAGTGAGCACGGTCCATTGCCACCTGCACCACATCACATCTTCCCTGGCAGCTTGGGAATGCCTCTGCAGTGCTGGGGTCCCCAGGGCAGGGGTGCAGGATGAGGGCCATAGATGGCTCACTGCCGTAGCTGCTTGTCAGACAGGGCTGACCCTTTGTTCACTGCACGCAGGTGCATTGAAGGCTTTGGAACATGGGAGAGAACTGAGCAAAATTACACTTAACAAATTCCTTCCTGTGGGCAGCACTGAGGGGCAGCAGGGAGGGTTGAGGACCGTCTCCTGCCAGCAGTTCCCAGAGAGGGGCTCCGACACTGCCCCAGTGTCTTTTGCTCTAACACTGGAGACTGAGCACTTTGTAAAGAACGGGGGCTTGTTGTAGCCCAAATTTCTGGAGGAAATCGAGGATCACGTGTCGGCCTCTGGGGGCGGGTCTGTGATGCTTCATCTTGAGGTGGGAAAATGAGAGAGCAGGTGAGGGCCTTTGAGAAAGGGAGAGATGAAGGGGCAGGGCCTGCTGTGGAACCTGCTCTGCAGAGAATCAAGTCACCCCTGAGGGAGGAGCTGCCATGACCCAAATGCTGCTTAAAGTCCCCACCACCTACCAACACTGCTAAATGCGAGACCTTTCACCAGTAGTTTGGTAACAAATCACATCCAAACCGTGTCCCTCAAGAAAACTTGGAGAAAGAGCTGAATTATTTTACCGCTCCTTTCTGTTCCGTGAGAGTGTCACCACGAGACCTTGTTCACACTAGGGTGCTCTGTCTACCAGTTTCCAAGGTGAATGACTACACGATATGAAAGTTGACTTCTTAGCCAGTGAGCTACTTCTAAATGCCGTCCTGTGGGGCTGGGAAGATGGCTCTGTGGATAAGTGCTTGCTGTGCAAGCATGAGGACCTAAGTTTGCTATCCAGCACCCACGTAAAGCTGGGCAGGGTGGCCTGCAACTGTAATCCCAGCCCTGGGGAGGCGGAGGCAGGAGGATCCCTGAGCCAAGCAGTCTAGGCCAGCTGATGAGGCCTAGGTTCAGCAAGAGACCCCATCTCAAAAAATAAGGTAGAGGGGTGCTGGAGAGATGGCTCAGCAGTTAAGAGCACTGGCTGCTCTTGCAGAGAACAGGTTCAGTTCCCAACACCCACATGGTGGCTTAACAACCATTTGTAGCACCAGTTCCAGGGGATCTGATGCCCTCTTCTGACCTCCAAGGACATTGCACAACACAGGTGCACTTATATACACGCAGGCAATACACTCATACACATAAAATAAAAATAAATAAAAAAT